TCTCCTCTTTGTAGTTGTTTTGTGTTTCTTTCAGTCATTTTGTGTCTTCTGTGTTGTTTTATGTCGCTTTGTAGTTTGTTTGTGTCTGTTTTTGTCTTTCTGTCTGTAGGTGTTGTATCGCTTTGTAGTTCGTTTGTGTTTAACTGTAGTCGTTTTGTGTCTCCGTAGTTGACTTGCATCTGTTTTTAGTAATTTGCTTCCTATTGTAATTGTTTTGTGTTTTATTTTAGTTGCTTTGTGTTTCATTGTGCTTGTTTTGTGGCTCTTGTTGTCATTTTGCCTCTCATTATAGTCACTTTGTTTGTGATTGCAGTTGTTTTATGTCTCTTTGTAGTTGGTTTGTGTCTATTTTTTTCTCTCTTCACAGTTTTTTGTGTTCAATTGTTTTGTGCCCCTTTTTTTTTTTGCTATTTTTGTCACCAACTGTTGTCATTTTGTGTCTCATTTTAGTTGTTTTACATCTGTTTGTAGTTGGCTTGTGTCTGTTTTTGGTAATTTTGCTTCCTATTCTAATTATCTTATGTCTCATTTTGAGTGTTTTGCATCTCGCCGTAGTCATTTTGTGTCTCTTTTTGTCATTTTGCCTCTAACTGCAGTCATTTTGTGTCTGACTGCAGTTGTTTTAAGTCTCTTTGTAGTTGACCTGTGTCTCTTTTTGGTCCTTTTTCCTCCCATTATTGTTATTTTGTGTCTTATTATAGTAGTTTTCTGTCATTGTGGATGTCTCATTTGTTGTGTGATACATATATATATATATCTGTTGACATTACACTAAAAGCAAACAAACGCTTCACACAAAGGCTCTGCAGGAGAAGCTCGAGCTCACAGACAAGAGCTTCCCATATGACGTTGCAGGGTCAAGTTTGTGGACAGTGTAGGTCAGGACTCAGCTGAGGTGGCCTCAAGCCCAGAACCCCGAGGCGTTATTTCAGTCCAAAGTTAGTAATGACATGCATACTTGTGTGCACGGCAGAGATACAGAGGGCCCTTCATGTACGCGCCGTCCCCGAGTCTCCTCTTCTGTGAGCTAACACAGCCGGCCATTCAGCGTCCGTCACACTGCAGCACATGATCCTCACACCCGCAGTCGTCCTAATCAGCCCATTTATGAACGTGGTGACATATAAAAAAAAAAAAAAAGACATTTCGTCTCGCGGTGGTGACTGTGCACAAAGGCAATAATTGATTTATTCAGTTTAAATAATAAAAGCTTCTTCATGAGGTCAAGGGCGTTATTCCCCCAGAGTCATCACTGCGGACGCACTCTTTTACTGTGTGTTGAATCATCAAATATCCCCTCTTCTCTGACCTTTTCCTGCCGCTGCATCTGATCACTCGATAGTAAAAAGAGAAACGCTGAATTAATTTCAGGCGCCGTGGAGCTGCACCCAGTGAACTCTGTCTTTTTTGAGCCTGAGCTGTCATTTGTGGATGCACATGATTCTATGCTGCTTCTCCAGGACTATACTCACCCCAAACAACAGGCGCTACATTAGATGGGAGCTGCCCGAACGCCACTGTGCTGAAAATTACAAGCTTTGATCCAATTGTGGTTTCTGCGTGAGGGAGGGAGTTTGGGCTGTTTCCTTGCGTCACAAGTCGCTCCACGTTAGGAGAACATTGTGCTTCCAGACAGCAGCTTCTTCTTCTGTGCTCCCATTGTCCCCACAAAGGCTCCACGAGTGCAGAGGACATTCCTTATTAGATAAAATTGATCGATTAATGCGGCCGTACACATGATTGAATCAGGAAGTCCTGTGATGTCATGTTCGAGTATTCTAAAATCTCCCTTTTGTTACCGGCTACGTCTGTGTGTGGATTTCATTCTGTCTGAATCACAGCAGCCTACTCAGACAAGAAGTGAGCTACCGGTGACTTACTGGAGACTAATTTGCATGTGTGACCTGAAAACCCTGCGTGCTCTCATGGCCCAGAAAAGGGTTTTGTACTGAAGGTCTTCCGAATAGAAACATAACATTTTTTTAAGAGCAAAACCTTTATTTAGACTGTTTGAGCAGGATGTATGAATGAGTCATTTGTATTTGTTATGTTAAGAGTTTATGAATGATCTCGACTGTAACGCCCCCAATTTGTGATTCATAAACGGTTGACTTATTTATAACATTTTATTACACAGTAATATGTGTCTGTAGGCAGATATGAGCATTTACTAATGTCTGTCAGCAACTATAACAGCTGCTATAAGCATTCATGTGTTGATTTTGGTAAATGAAGAGACAATTAATGCAGACAACTACATTTAAACACAGCTGCTGAGTTGAAATCTTGTCATTACTGACGAATAGTTTGTATATTGAAACACTGGAAAAACCTATTTATCACTACACATGTAATTAGAACATTAAAAGCCTCAATTAAACATTGCAGACT